CTCATCTATTTAAATCTGCTTTTAACCTGTGAAGTTAGTTATGTATGTTTTTGTTTTGTTTCTTACTGTTATAATGTCATCTATCAGCCTTGATTATATTGTTATTGATTTTATTGTTTCTGTTTTTACCATGTAAAGTGCCTTTGAGTACCGTTTAAAGCGCTATATAAATTAAATGTATTATTATTATATATATATATTAGGGCTGGGCAAGTTAACGCATTATTATCGCGTTAACGCATTAATTAATTAACACAGACAATTATTTTATCGCGCATTAACGCAGTTTTTTTTATTATTAAGCAGACATTTTTAACACAAGAACCTGGCAGCGAGCGGTGAACAGCTGTGTTTGTGTGGCGTCTCTTCCGTCTCTTCCTGTTTCCTTCACCTACATTCCCCTGGGTCCTAAGTCCCTCCATGTACAGCTTCTTATCACCCTCTATGTACCAACGTACAGTTATAACAAATACCACAAATATTACGGTAATCAGCGTTGCATATGTGTCTGACCTAAATACCAAAAAAAGCAAAAAAGAAATGATTCATTTAAATTATTTTTTTAGAGTTTTTAAGGTGTTTTGTTTGGAATATGTAAAATAAGCATCATTTAGTTATCGCTACTGAGAATTTAACAAATCTAAAAAAATTAATTAAAAAAACATGACGTAGATAGTTTTGCAGTTTTCAAGGTGTATATTTCAAATTCCATCTCTTACACACATGAAGATAAAGTTGTGAACACCGGCTGAATATCTATTATCAGAATCATTATAACTGTGTTATGACTGCTGCTGTGTAAAGGGAATACTGCTGTTAACAAGAACCTGATGTGTTTAAGGTGTTTACAAACCAAATGTTATTGCACTTTTGTTCATATAGCAGTACCTTTAAAATAAAAGTGCGCAATACAATACTTCTGAATTCATTATTGAACTTTGCGCATAACAATGCGATTAATCACAGAAAAATCATGCGATTAATCGCGATTAAAAATTGTAATTGTTGCCCAGCACTAATATATATATATTTATATGTTTGTGTGTGTATGTGTGTGTTTCATCACAGTACAGTCATAACATTAAGTAAGTATGGAGTACCTGTTTGCACATTAGTAGCCCACTCTTGTTGTACACCCTACTAAGAAGTCCCTCATTATGATTATGACAATTAGCTACAGATTGTTTACTGTGGAATTCACAATTAGTTCCTTATTAATAAACTAGATTCTCAAAATAAATATTATAACCATTGTATTAAGACAACATATACATTAATATTTGCATGCATGATATAAGTGATGCTGACGCCTTAAAACTCCAATAAATAGTGTATGCAAGATTTGACCTGGGAGCTGTGTAAAGGCAATGACTCCAAACACAAACTGCTTTCACAAAGTGTATTTAGTAGTATATATTTACAAAATGTCTCAACGTCTAGCAAAATAACAAGTAGACTAAAAATGAATAAAGACTCATAGAGGAATGGAAAAAATCAAAAGGAAAAGTTATTCAATGAAAAGGCAATGTTGACGATTGATTGGATTTACCTACACCAATTTAATAACAAAATTCTCTGAGTGGATTCATCATGTGTGTCAATCTCTTAGAATTTTTATAGATGACTGACAGTTAGCATCATGCTACATTAGTAGAGCCTCACATGGTAAGGGTTAGCATGTTTGTTGTTTGCGGAAATGCTAACTGCTTGCAGCATATGTTTGGCTTCACTTCACTCACCAGTTTTTGTTGGACAGTTAGCGCACAGCCTGAATCAGTGATCAAATGTGTGCATGCTCCAAAGCAACAACTAAGGAGTTTTAGTTCTTCTGGCGTCCGAAATTAGCCTGAAAAGACCGGAATTAAATGAGCAACAAGTTCCAAACATGGATTCAGTGAGCAGGATACAGCATGGAGACGGGCTCTGGTTCATTCCTTTGAAAGTTGCCCTGATAGACTTCCGGCTATCTTGCACATCTATGGGCCCATAGAACAAGCGTACTAGCGTTTCCTTTAACCCCACCTACCAGCCGCTGGTTCTCAGGAGGAAGAAAAATTAACCCTGGATTCGGCTATTAGTGCATTTTAGAACTTTTAGGACCTAATTATTTTATAAGGGATATTAAGGTTTTTACCTCAAAATAATTTTATAGAGACTTTACAGACATCTCTTTCCGAATGTATATGTCTAGAGAAAAAAAGTATTTTTGGGCCTAGTGGCATCACATGATGGACCCTGAGGGTTGTTATTACATGCTTTGGCGGTCTTGTCTAGAAGGTAACGCACAAGTCGCAAAACTCTAGCGAGGTCACATTGTTGATCAAATTGTAAATTGTTGAGATTTTTAGCAAAAAGATCACTACATACTATTATATTATGTATATATATATATATATATATATATATATATATATATATATATATATATATATATACCCTACACGCTAGCTACTGAACAAGTGGAGATAAATATTACTGTTATATATAGTATTCTGTCTGGTAATTCAGTCTTTAACAACACATCGTATTTTATAAGATGATCAGTAACCAGCAGCTGTCAACTAAATTGTGAAGTAGAAGTACTTCAAAATTGTACCTGAGTACAATACTGAATGTGCTAGAGACTTTCCACCACTGGATAAAGATGTGGTTCTACCACACGGGCTGGAGTTGTCCCTCTGCTCCATGGTGCATTTGCTGTATGAGCAACAGCGTCCATCAAGCATTGTGGTAGGGATAAAATACACTACACATAGATCAAGTACTGGTTTACTTTACGTAAAAAATTGTGTTTTGTGTTTTTTTAACTGCAACTTCAAGAAAGACTGCTTGTTCTGAAATGCAGAAGTCACAGGTTTGGTTGCTCTTGGCATGCAAGAGAGATAAGCCAAATGTGCAGGTGTATGAGCTGTTATCAGTGTATCAGGTTGAACTGATAGCTCTGGGCGATGCTGAGTGTTGCTGTTTGTCTAGCAGGAGTGGTGCTGGTGAGGGAGCGAAACCCAAGGAGTAAAAAACTAGAGGGACATCTGAACAGAAGAAGAAACAGCACCAGCCTTGCCAGCACAGTAGTCCAAGGCCTAAAGAGTGCCCGGAAATGACTCAGCATTTTCTAACTTCTGATTCCCTTATTTTGAAGTCAATGACTAGGTTTACATGCTCACTCATGTTCCACTATTATTCGGAATTTGACAATATTCGGAATTTGATTTGGCTCATGTAAACATCATATTCTGTTTGGATATTCTGAATTAGGCCTTATTCGAATAAAACATTTTCCAATTAAGACATGTGGCATATGCCAATATTATTTATCTTTGAGGATCATTCTCTGGACAGGTATACAGTGCATTTGGAATATGTGTATCAATAGGGGTTTTTACGGCACTTTCCTGTTTACGACCAGCTCTCCCAAATTTGCCAACTTATCAATAGTTTGCAAAGCTGGAGTAAAGATGCATGCCCGAAAGAAAAGTCCACAATTCTGGTCGGCAGGAGGAACACACCTACTTTTAAGAATTATGAGGGACTTGGATCTCAACAGGTGTTTGGATGTGCACAAATATCACAACGCAAGCTTTTCAAGAAGGTGTTTGAAGGAATGAAAGAGGGAAGCTGTGTTGGCAGAGCCAAACATGTCCACCACTTTCAAAAAAATATTCTGACGGGCATCCACCCATCAAACACTACCAAGAATGGCGTCGACGTGGGATTCATATTGTCTTTTTTTCGGAATAAGGGCAAGAACGGGAATATTTGGTGCATGTAAAGGTAGTACCTATTTTGTTATAGGTTTTTGGTTAGATGTCTGAAATAAGGTCTGTAGTTAACACAAGATTAAAATATTTTAAAGTGTCAGTTAATGTCCCTCTGATGGATATAGAAGCTTTTATGTGTCCTAAAAAAGGTGGTTGCTAACAAGTGTCTAAATGAGACGACTAAACGCCATCACACCCACTAGTCCGCCCTTTACAGCCTTGTTGTGTATACTTGCGCTCATGAGAACAAGATGTAGTATGTTTATAGCCTAACGTCAGCTTTTTACTTCTGCTGATTGCATTTACACTTCAAAAATCATAAAAGTGGTGTTCGTTTGTGAAGATGATCTTCCTGAACAAAATGCATCACAAGTATCGCAATTGTTTGCAAATGCAAATGTTTTTATTCTGCAAAAAAAACAAATCCAATATAAATATCCCATTGGCTTTTTGTTGAGGGAACCAGTGCAATGCTAACTTCAAGGTCGGCCAATAAAAATACGTCATCTCTGCAGCACTCTTTTGTTCATATTGGACGATTTTGCTGTACATAATTTATACTTATTGCCATTATTCACTTCCAGTGCATAAAGTAGTGAGACATTCTCATAGTAACTCTGGCTGCTTTTGACAGAGGTTTGCTTCTGGATGTTTTCTTTAATTTTTAACCGTGGCAACAATTTTACCTGAAATAAATCAAGTTCTTTGTGGCCTAAATTTGACCATAGTGTTGTCAATCTATCCATCCATCCTTCATCTATAACCGCTTATTCTTTACAGGGTTGTGTTGGGCTGGAGCCCATCCCAACTGACATTGGGGGAGAGATGGGGTTCACCCTGAGTAATTAAATCTAAAACACAGAATCATATTGAAATACTGTTTACATGTGTTCTTAGTAAAATCTGAAAGTAGCTAGTAACTATACCTGTCAAATGAAGTGGAGTAAAAAGTACGTCATTCTCCTCTTAAATATAGTGAGGTAGCCTAAGTAGAAAGTAGCATACAATGAAAACTCTACTTAATGCTGATGTAAAGGCCGATTCAAAGCTGAATTCAACGTTGATACCCACAGGAGTGATGACTGAACTATGCCCCCCTGTGTGTGTGAAGCAGTGGTGCACACACACACACACACACACATCTCGGATTTATTGGGTACACACCAAGTCTCTTAATTGTCATTTCCTCGCTCCTCAATCCTCGCTTGAACCGGAAGTTGTTCTGCTCCGCCATATCGACGGCCGTCCCAAAACCCAATCCCAATGTCCCCCCTTGGACTGACAGACTTTGAGGCGCGCTCCCGCGAAGGTTTACTACGGTCGGATGCCGGTAATAGCGCACCGGCACGCAATGCATCTTGGGATATGGTGGGCCGCGAAGCATACATCAGATGTGTCCTCCAAATCTGGGACCAGAAGGCTGCATTCCTCGGCTGCATTGAAGGACTCTTCAACAAAAATGCGAAATGGGACAGCACTAGTCGCAGTGCTGTGACACAACCGGTCTACGAATGCAGCCTCCGAAGGATGCAGACCCTGAATTGAGACACAGCTGATGATTTGACAGTGGGACAGCCCTAAACCCTCACGGACTTTGCAGAAGCGCGCCTCAAAGTCCGTAAGGGGGAACATTGGGATTGGGTCATTATGTGCTCCGCTGCCTGCTTTGCATCAGGAGTGTCCTCCATCCGCAGGGTGGCGCTAGCACAATATAAAGACAGTTGTATCAGCACAGAGCGGCAAACACCGTTGTTCCGGGAAACAGCGTGTTTGCAGCGTTGAACGCCTAGGAGGACGTTTTGATGCAGAAATAGTTCGTCTGTAACGTCTGTTCGTGGCCTCAACATGGTGAAACTATCCGCAGAGCTGATTGAGCAAGCTGCTCAATATACTAACCCTGTGAGAGACAGAGAGTTGGATTTACGAGGTTAGTTCAACTTCCTTTATAACGGCGTAACGTTAGCGTTAGTCCACTATGTGACGTTAGCTTACGCGGGCCTCACGCCGAACACCGTAAAGAAAAACGGAAACGTGATACGCGTTTGTACTCTACGATGCAAGCAGCAACGTGTCTATGTAGTCTAATATACGTTACAATCTGTCTAATGGCTATGCCAGCTATCGGTTAACTACAACGTAAGGTCCGAAAGTAACCCAACGAACATAACCGTAACCACCGCAGCTCTGCGAGTCAAAGTACAAGCTTTACGAAGCCAATAGCATCCTCAGGCGAGTGCTGCTGATCACCAAGACTAAATGAACTCAGGGAAACACCTCTTCTTTATCCAACATTAAGTTGTGTTGCAGAACTGGCGTCCTGGAAGTATACCGTGATAGAGTATATTGTGAATATATATACAACCGGGCTAGAATTAAAGTACAGCATGTACCACAGTTCATAGTAGTTGAAGAGTACTGTAGCTTTTCATGGCTCACAGCTGTACCCTTCAATGTGCAAATGAAGTGACTAAAATGTTTTATTTATAACAAACTGTATGGATATTCTCTGCGTTTTTAATAGAAGAAGGAACCTCAGTGTGTTGCCACTTTTGTGTAGTTATCAACCATAAACGCTGTTGTACCTTTTTTAATCAAAATAATGACAGGCTCGTGGTGTTCTATAAAAACATGTCGGTCACGTTATCACCATGCTCACCATGCTGATCTCTGGAGACAACAAAATCAAGGATTTCTCGAGGAGCATGAACGAGGTCCTTCTCAACTTTTATGTTTTTATTTTTTTCACCTCACAGGTTATAAAATTCCAGTACTTGAAAATCTCGGAGCTACTCTGGACCAGTTTGACACGATTGACTTCTCTGATAATGAAGTCAGGAAACTGGACGGCTTTCCTCTGCTCAAGAGACTGAAAACATTGCTGATGAACAACAACAGGATCTGGTAAGTTAAAGCTGCACACCATAAATAATAATCTGAACATGTATTTTAATTAAAAGGGGGATTTTTTTTCTTCCTTGCAATTAATTATATATTTTCATCCGTTATTGTAATAGAATACTTTCACATAGAACGAAGATGTTACATGGTGAAAGGACATACTTTCTTTTTCTCTGAGCTTTTGCACAGCAAACCAACCGATCGCATTATATTTATAAAATGACACGGAGGCTCAGTAGTCCGCACCAGGATGGCAAACTTCATTGCTGCTTTTAACCTTGACAAAGGCAACATAGACCGGACCCACTCCCTCTGTTCTTGCCTTTCACAATAAAAAACCTGTTTGTATTACAAGCCAAGCTGCCTAATGAAACAGTTGTCTGCCTTCATATAGCTGATGTGTAATAGACTTGTGTTGACTATTACAATCCCTCTGATGTGACTGGGAGAAATAATGGGAGTATTGCCCTTTATTAACGAATGGGTTAGATATGACTTCATGGCGGTCAGCAGTCGGGGCGGCCATGCTTTATTTGAGTTTCATCAAGAAACAAAATGCTGCCGACACTCTGTGTACAAGTAGATCCCGCTGTGTGTGCCCTTTGAAGTACTGCCTTTGTTTAGCGTGGTCACAGTAAACGTGACCAGTACATCGCTGCGTTCTTGTAACTTTATGAAATGTTTCTCCAGTCGCATAGGTGAGAATCTGGAGTTGTCCCTGCAGGGTCTGACAGAACTGGTTCTCACCAACAACAACATTCAGGAGCTCGTGAGTACATTTCAGCAGCAGAACTATCTGAACCCGTTACTCATTTTAGATGTGATCAAAATGGTGAATACAAACTTCAGTAGTTTACGCTGATGTATCAGAAGAATACGTATTCTTCTACAGTTTGAGGCAAAACAACAACAACTCTGTGAAGATTGTTGTCATTGTTTGTCGACTCAAATCTGTTATCACTGTTGTAGTTTTGTCCACACTGGATGAAATCTTCTGAGTTACAGTACAACAGACCGCTCAGCTCTCTCTGCCAGCACCTGCAAAACCCAATATACGTTCTGCTGCAAAATGGCAATTTTGCAGGGATGTTGCATTGTGTTACACTTCACAGGTGTTCTATTTCTCTGCTAGTTTATTTTATAGTGTATTTAGTTGACACTTTTTATTTTACTCATTTGGATATTAACGAATCCCATGGTGTGTTTTCTGAACCGATATTGTTTTCCTGTGTAGGGTGACCTGGACCCTCTGGCCACAGTGAAGACATTGACCCTTCTCAGGTATGATCACAATATTAACCCGGGGGAGTCTCAAATGCTGCGCTGGTGTCTCCCTCCAAACACGCACACCTTTGAAAGCAAGCTGAACTAAGAAGTGCACAATGTTCAATTTTTAACTTTCACTTATTACTCGCAATACTAGAAATTCAGAAGTGGATACCAGTGAAGGTACATGATTCTTAATACCTAATTCAGTACAAAACAAACCGATAAATCCCCTGCACTCCTTTATTACTGTCTGCACACAGTTTTTATTATTAAACCGTGGTGATCTGCCTCAAATATCTTTCCAGAAACTACATTTTACAAGATTATATTTGAACACATGATAATGTTATAATTTACCAAAAACTCATTTTTACTGAACAGAGCTTGAACGTATCGTAACTTAATTCAGTGCAACCTCCGTACATTAACTATTTGCTCTATTATTTAGCAAAGCAGGACTGTGCTGCCCACCGACTGCTAACGGCTAACGTTAACTAGCTCGTCTCCTACCCATTTCAACGGGGATTTGTGCTTCACAATATAGCATTATCAGGGAAATGTTCCATTGTCCTTGGGACGACGGGGTGCATTTCATCCTGAGCCCTGATCCTGTACCTGTGGTACTGTAGGAAAAGACCGTCACATTTTCAGTATTCCGGCATGGCTTGCTACAAAAGAGTTCAGTAATAACCTGCATCTGTAGCATAACATGGTGACATTAAGTGACACTAAATCCACATTGTTTAGCTAACGTTGGCTAACAACGTTAGTGGGCTAAGGTGCACTCTGGGGGCTACGGTGTTCCCACAGAGTATGAGAAGTCGATCAACTACTGTGAACTCTTAAAACTTTATTCTGTCTGCATCACAAGCAGAACACGTACTCTACAATGGGGACTCAGTGCATCACGGTTGCCTGTAGTCACAGCAGCTGTTTCCTCCTTAAGTCACCAGTTCACATGGTTGGAAGACTTTCCACCGCTACATGGCGGAACAGACAAAGTGGTTGCCAGATTCATCCATCTTCAAAAATACTGCACCGCTGAATTATGATCATACATGTTTGTAATAATCACTGAATTTCCAGCTTGTTAAGGAATCCAGTGACAAACAAGAAACATTACCGGCTCTATGTCATCAACAAAATCCCACAGATCCGTGTGCTCGACTTCCAGAAGGTAAAACTCAAGGTAAGTCCATGGAGCAGGCATGTTTCCACCGTTTAAATGTGAGAGACAGGTCTTCAGTGAACCTGACACGACGTGTGAGTCATGGATCAAATGTATTGGGGATGCAAGCTAAAGCAGTAGTATGAACTTTCAAACATTACAGTGGTTGTTAAAATCTTCTAACCTGTTGAACGTCTTAAGAAGTTCTAGTGAATTGTACATTTCCTGGCCTGGCCCCCCCCCCCCCCCCTGGATGAAGCTCAGTGTGTGCTTCATGAGGGTTTTCACTTTAACTGTGTGATATTGTTATAGGAACGCCAGGAGGCAGAGAAAATGTTCAAGGGCAAACGAGGTGCTCAACTTGCAAAGGATATTGCCAGGCGAACCAAAACGTAAGATGAATGTCTCCGTTAGACAGCAGCTCCTCAGAATCACTGGATCCTGGCTGATGGAACGGGTTACATGTAAAAAGAAAAATGCACTGTCACCACTAGTCCATTACAAACTATCTGTGTACAACAATACACGGTAATAAATATAAGTTTTCTTCTTTCTCTATATGCAGTCATTTATGACAAAATTCCCGTTTGAAATCATTGAAACATGTTTAGAGTATTTGTCAAATGTGAGCAAACTCATCCCTTCCTCAGTGAAGGTAATAATCTATAAGCCCTAACTCTACCGTTCAACCTGAAGTCAGAAACCTTCCCCACAGTGTTGCTCAGGACTGCTGTCTGTGGACAATGTATCAGTTTATCTGACTCAAGAAAAGATACTATACATGAGATCACTACATTGGTTGAGAGGTCTGAGAAGCCATTGTGTGTCCATGTTGTCTAAATGAGGGGTCTTCCTTTCAGATTCACTCCGGGGGTGGCAGCACAGCTTGAGAAGAAGAGGACGGGCCCGTCTCAAGCAGATGTGGAAGCCATCAAGGTTAATCTTTTGACTTGACAGATGTTGGCGTTGTGTTTCTAGAGCTGAGCATGACTTTCTGTCCCTCAATCGATGTCTGGCATTTAACAAAACCCCAAACATGAAATGATACACGAGGTTCTCTCACTATCTTCCTCAGAGGGTGGAGGTAACTGAATGGAACAGGTGGCGGTATACGATAGGACATTCAGAGATGGTGTCTGGTGTGAATGTCATCGATCTTTCACTGGTCGTCTACTGACTTCCTGCTCGATGACCTTTGACCTCTTCTCAGTGGCTGCTCTGAACGTGCTCAGACAGCCAAGGAGCACTGTTGAACAGTAACGAAGGCAACATTAGAGGGAAACGCTCCCTTGCCAAGTTCTTGTTAACTTTTAGAGCGGAGCAAAAGAAAGCATTCTGACTGGAAGTTTGTGCATGACTCGGGACAGGAGGGCTCTGCAGTGGTCCATTAAGACCTCCCAGAACATTATTGTCACTCGGGCTGGGTGACGGAGCATGCAATGCATCATACTCTGAAAACCACGCCCACCAGAGAGGAACAGGATATGCAACCACAGGCTCAAACACTACCAAAATGCCTGTAGCAGCTAAAGACATCCTATATGTGCATGTGAAAGGATTATTTTAGCACCCTATGTCTACCAGGGGTGACCAGTTAGTTAAAAACTAAAATGATGATGGAAGGGACAAGTTAGCTGTTAGCAAGCTAATGTTAGCCATGTGTTAGCAAGTTACTGTAGTTGCTAAAGCACTTGAGAGCGAGGAGTTGTTTTCCCCTCCGGTGTGGGCGGGACTTAATTGATCTCTCTATTTAACACTATTTGAATCAGGTGTCAGGTCAGTGGAGAGCGATGAATAATTGTCTCTATATGGCTTATGCATAATATCTCTATTTTTAAGCTATGCCTTGATAAAAAGATTCCTTTCTATTAAAGGCAGTTCTTTGTTGGTGTCCGTGTAGTCAGTTCCTCCATGCTCTTACCGTGAGGCCTAGTGCACGTACCACAAAACAACGGGGGAGTTTTCAAAGTGGAGGCTGGCATCTTCCATCTGTTTCTGTCCTCAACACTCGTTAACTCTCTTTTGTGCTTCACTTATTTCGTTCTCAGGCTCTTTCCATGTTCCCTGCTTCCCTCCTGATACAAAGTGTGTCCCATACTTGCATCCATATCATACACCCCACACACACTCTCAGGAGAGGGAGCAGCAAGGCTCATGTAGGCGGCTTAAAAAAAATGATGCTACAATAAATATTTGACCTATGTTCGATTATAGTCCCTGTAGAACAAGCCTCAATACACTGAGCATATTTGATGTATTGCCCACCCATAATTGGTACCCATCTACCGTGCATCAGTGATATTGTGGAGGCGGGGAGCCTGGCTGTATAAAGACAATGCTGACGCAGCTACAGTCTGTTCTCCCTGCTGCTGTCGTACCACCACACTTCAGGCTGTGAGACTCCTTCATTGTTGTGTTGCGTATTTAGCGTTAAGGGATTACAACTGCATTTCGTTGCGCACCTCGTTATTGTAGAGTGATGATAAATAAACCTTGTGAAAATCACCTGATGACTCCGCCCTCTGAGGAAAACAGTGAAATGAGGTTGAAAACTCCAGTAATAGCCAGTGAGGGAACCGTGAGTGGTCAAACTGCTGTTTTTAAGGTCATGACAAGGTTTCACCTCTTTGTCATATTTCACTCTGAATACGTGTTGGTCATAATCTACCTTGAAAGCATGTTCCAATTGGCATACGATCAAATGAATGACATCATGGTCATAGAAACCACTGTGCAGATGAAGCACCACTGATGTGACTTCATATAATGACCGAGATGAACATTCAGATCTCTAGCTTGTTAACTGTAAAATATTTCTAATCATCAGAGCCTGTCAGCTTACATGAGTCTGTTTGCATTCCAGTCTGCCATCGCTAATGCTTCATCGTTGGCAGAGGTGGAGAGGTTGAAGGGGATGCTGCAGGCTGGTCAGATCCCAGGACGAGAGCTGAGACCAGGTCAGTGCTGATCAAACACTACAACACAACTCTACTAATGCTGTTAAATGTGGTGGATGTTTGAGGCTGAAATGTCCCTTTTGATTTGTATAAACACATTTGTCCAGATGTTCTCACATTGTTTTAGGAGCTGTGACTAAACTGTACTGATGCAGCAATATTGCCAGCCAATCACAGTAGTAGTTTCTGAATGGTAGCCTGATATCTCTTCTTCCTCTGTGCCATGCAGCTGCATTGTTGTCCAAAAACTATCAATGAGCACTGGGTGACGTACAGACCCACATACTGCTGGCAGAAATACTCATTTGAGCACCAAATGTGATTAATCCGCCGCTGAAAATAGTCCCCAGCAGATGCACTATTTCTTCCTGTTTAACGTTTTCTGAAAGCAGCTGTTTTAGAAGATGACTGGGCCTGATTTTAATCATGACACATTTGTGAGTAGAGACCCACCAATTGCAATTTTTTCGGTCGGTTTAAATTCTACGTCTGACCTGCCGATTCATATTTCTATCTTTTAGAACTATAATTTACACCAACGTTTTACACTAGCTTTTATTTTTACCCTCGTCTCAAAAAAGAACTTCAACCACCCCAAAGTCAGGGTCAACTTTTACTTAATCCTCATCTATAGTGGTTAATTGCAAAAACACACAAATTTCAAATGAATAGGAAATGCATGATTGTATTTACATTGAAATATTGTCTTTGATATCAAGTAACGGTCATTTTAACTCTGTATTGTAAGCTGCTCCGAGGTTGTTAGGAAGTTAATCGGCTCATGATTCCGTCTCTGCCTTTTCTATATATTGCTGTGAAATTATCTCCAACACATCGTGATAATGGTATCATTTTATCATTTGCCTTCCCCCAATTTTGCTGAGTAGAGCTTGAACGCTTCATTATCAAGTTAACGTAACCTCCGTTAGCATTAGCTATTAGCTCCGTTACAGGCAGGGCTGTGTTTCCATTACTCTGGGCAGCATGCATTGGAATGACTCATGAATTAGTTCCTGATCTAGTAAGTTGTTCCAAAAGTTTAGGGTTGTCCCTCGACAACTTGTAGCAGTAGGGACAAATTGCGAGCCAAGCACTTCTCTTACTCACGTCAATGAGCGGTTTTGATCGGCAGCCGATCGGTAGGTGCATCTGTGTTTCTGGTCAGTAGGAAAGAACTCTGCTGAAACCTCCTCAGCTCCTTAACTCTACCTTTTGGAAAAATCAAAGATCCTGTCCTCAAAACGTGTGAATCAACCCGAACCCCGAGAGGTCCTTCACCATACAGTCACAAATGAGCACAAACGTTAGGTTGATGGGATTAGCCGTGGACAGACGGACACAGAGATGCATGCACACCTCACCGATTACATAATCTCCTGGATAATAAGGGAGACCGACAGCTTTACCCGTGTCTGAATTATATATTTTTTCTTTGGTAACCTTAATGTATTTTGAGATTCATGGATTGATGAATAAATTAATTTGTAAAATCAGGTCCAGCTGGTATGGAAGAAGAAGAGGAAGAAGAGGAGCAGGAGGAAGAGGGTGACACTGCACATTCTGGAGAGGAGATGAATGAGGGTGATCAAGAGGAGGGTGAAGACATGGAACAAGAGCCACACGTTAATGGCTCCTGAATACCTGGAAATGTGTTTTTTTTTTTTTTTTTTTTTTTTTTTTTTTTTTCTATGTTGTAGTTTTTTAAGTTCGACATACTTCTACCAGGGTTTTATTTTGTAAAGCGCATACATTAAACTGATTTCTAATGTTACTCTGTCCAGATTCTTTTAAACAGTCGGCTGACGTTCTCAGCTGTGTGCGGTCCTTCTATATGCATCTGTTTATAAACGGCAGCGCACGTCCAGACAGAGATGGATTGAAAATGGTAGCAACCGAAACTCTAAAAGCGTGGATATCCTGACTTTTAGTGACTATTGGGGGGCATGATTCACAGCTCACTGGATCAGACAAAAGCATCATTGTTAGTCCAGTCCTGGCTGGTACGGTGCCTATGAAAGCCGTTCTCTCCCTGGGAAGTTGCCATGCTTAATTGTCTTTCAACATTCTATCACATTCAACTTCTCTTTCATTATTTTTCACAGATTATTAACCGAGAAAGATCCTTTAGTGTCAAACTGAAAACCCATTTCTACACTATGGGTTTCATTTATTCATAAAAAATAAAATATTGTGTTTACAATTATTCCCTTTGCAGATGCATTTTTTCAGCATTTACAGCTTTGAGTCTGCCTGGATATCCATCAGCGTGAGTCTGGACAGCAGAATTATACCCCACTCTTTGCAGAATTGCTGCAACTAAGTCTGGTTGCGAGTATGTCGAGAGTGAACGTCCTTTTCAAATGTGGCCACTTGTAGTCAATATAGAGCTGGGATTCATGCAGGACTCCCTGTATGTGTAGTTAAGCAGAGAAGGATTCCATCAATCATAGACCACTGAGCGACGTTTGAGTTTATTTAACTGGATCCCCATTAGCTGACTCCTTAGCGGCCGCTAATCTTCCTGGGGTCCACAAAAAGGACAAAACGTAATGCATGCAAAACATGACGTTAAAAATAGTACAATCAGAATAATAAAAATGGTACAGTCAGATGCATAGTGCAGTCAGACTAGGATGTATAATGTCATAATTGACCATATACACAGTGCATCCATCATTTATAAAAAGGATCAGGAGACTACAAAAGCAATGGAAAATGTTAAGTGGTTAGTAGCCTGAGGTGAGCCTTTAATTGTTTGTTAAATGACAGATTATTACCTGTATGAGTTATGAGGTACGCTCCAAGCAGTAATTGCACGAAACATAACTATGTTTGAGGAGGTTTGTTCTTGGGGTTGGAGGTATCAAGTGACCTGAGCTAGCATTCCTTGTGTGATGGTTATGTCTGTTACATGTGTATTGTAACTGATTGAATAAATATTCAGGTATCTGATTAAATACTACGTTTCTGAAAAACATGAGAAGGCTGTAGTGTTTCATTTCCACTGAGAACCATGACAGACGAGAGTGCATATACGCTGTATTAGTTCTCAGTGAACACTGGAGTGCTAATCTGGCAGCTCGGTTTTGAACCAGTTGTAGTTTATTTATGTCCTTAGCTGCTGCTGACTATATGAATGGACAGTATAGCAGGTGACAAAAGACCAAGGACTGTAACACCTGACAAATAATAGTGTTAGATAAGCAAAGCACTTTCTAGTCATAGCTATGCCCCTTCCCATTTTAGTGACAATGCAGTCAATGTGCTCAGACCTGTTCGTCCAACACTACACCCAGTAGTTTAGTCTTCTTGACCTGTTCTATTGCCGAACCCGACATTGTCAGGTGAAGCTGTGTCACCATTCAGCGTATTCCTTGAGCCAAACACAATACTTTTAGTTTTAGAAATGTTCAGGGCTAGTTTGTTCACTTTCACCCAATCAGACACTCTAGATCCTGATTCAGAATGGTTGCTGTTCCTGTTTGCAGTACTATACAGTGTCGTGTCATCTGCATACATTACGAGTGAGTGTTGGTGGCATTCACTGGCTTGATCAGCAGTGCGCAGTCATTTAGCGAGTGTGACTGAAGATGGACACAAAACCATTACTGCCATCGGTTTGGATGGGTGTGATGGCATCTTGTCTCCGGACAGCACACATGATGATCAGTTTGGATGACTTCAGAGCAGTAAAGAGGAGACAGACGGGCCAATGTAAACATGTATATTAATATTGCTGAATGATAATGTAATAAGTCATTGGCAACACATTCTACGACACCCATGTCTATAATAAACATGGATAATATGTTATCTGCTAATAGTGCTGTGTTATAATAATTACAAAGCACTTTATAGGGTCAAGTATACTTAATAATTGCTGGTTACTCAGACTATTTTATGCAAGGATCCTGTATTATAATTTCAAATACAATGTAATAAATTATAATATTTTCTTAATGCATTATGATCACTGTTATAATCCATTACAAGCTGGTTATACGTGGCCGTTGTTTGCTTTAAGTAAAGTGAAATCAAATATTAAATCTATGCAGCTCGACATACTACTTTGTAAAATTAGTCTCGTCATAGGAGGAAATGTGAAACGTCGCTTGAACAGTTATATGGTTTCCCGCGGTCCTGAAACGCAGCACGACGCCGACACGTCGCCCTAAATGCTGGTTTACGTTCGTGACTAGCGTTAGCCAGTGCTAGCCAGCAAAGATGGCTGACATGGGGAAGAGGTCCCAGCACGACGTGTAGCGTTAACTCCAGAGCGATAACGTTTGCTAAGCAACACGGGAGATACATTTTCGTGCTCTATTCAGACAGCGGTACTCTTTGTCTGAGATGGACGACGTGGAGATTACAGATGTCGAAGACGACAACTCGCCTTACCGGGTGGAGAAGGCGCCTCTCACCAACCAGGACCTGAGCTCCCTGAGCCTGACCGGTAACGTGACACGACAACAAGACCAACATGTCTAAAGACGGGTCACTTCGTCTTTAACTAGCGTTACACCACTGTGTCTTTGGTAGCGATATACGTAAGCATGTTAGCAGCTAACGTTAACACTGTTTGTTTTGAACGTTACGCTGACGTCAGTTGATACGTGGAAGTCACAGAACGTAACATTACGTCATCTACCAACTCGTTACTGGGAGGAACATGATTGTATCTTCACTGCTGCTTATTGCAATCTTAATAAATCCAATCCTATTCATCCACACCCCAGTCTAGTTTATATGCAGTCTCTCGATATAAGCTATATATCTGACATGATATATGGTCATCTTTATGGGTAAATGGCATGTAAGGAGCCTTGTTTCCTTGTTTTATTTATGAGTGCAACAATTGTTATTAGTTCAGTTTCTCGTTACATAACCAATATTTTTTTCTGTCATCAGTTTTATTTGATGATCTGGGTTATTAAACCTTGGTAGTAAATATATTCACGCCTGGCAAACAAAGCTGTTTTAAAGGAAGACAGGTGATGTGTTTGCTCCTGGCCCCACAGTCGGAGAGCTTCTGTCCCAGTATGGATGGTACCTGCTGGCTGTGACTGTTCTGGTCTACCTGCTCATCCAGCACCTGAGCAAGAGGAGATCCAGCCAGAGCTCCAGCAGCTCGCCCCAACAAACACTGCAAGGTCAGCACTTCCCAATACCTGCTTACATACGTACCTGCTACAAAGGCACCGAGAATAGGAAATGAGTCAATGGCAGCAAACACAGTCACATATTGTACAAGTCTTTGTATCACACTTCATGTAATAGTCCAGTAGATGTATGCATCCGTGGTTCCAGTCTAGGGCAACAACAACAAATCCATTTTAAGAATAGTTAGCAACAGTTCTGGTCATTGATTAGTTGGCTCTATGTTTTCAATCGCCACATCAGCTGTTACTGAACATCTCAACACTCCATTTGTCCGGCACTCACTGCAAACATTTAACTTTTGTGTCAAATGGGAATCGATCCATCAACAAGTACTTTGCTGGCACCAAAATGAAAAGTCAATGCTAAAGTCAAGACTGTCAAATGTTTGAGTTTCTCATTGAGACATACACACAGCCACCCAACTGAAAAGTCAGTGTTCTCCTTTCTGCCTCTTTTAATATTTATCGTTGTCTTCTGGAAATCCACACAAACCTCTCTTCACATCGGCATGAATTCGATCAACTGCACAGCTCTCATTTAAAAATACATCTCGTAGATGTACGAGATACAGCTCGTATTTAAAATACGTCTCTTTGTCCGTTACTCCCGTTATTTGCTTCTTCAAAAACACCTGGAGTTTAGTTTTTATTAAAACAAAATTTTAACCAATAAAATATGTGTCCACTGCAGACCATATTAATCAGAGCACACAAGGCCCAAGTTACCGTGTGACTGGTTGCTGACGAACAATGTAGCATTTAATACGGACACTTCATGAAGAACAATGAGGATCTGTTTGAATGGAATATTCTCTGCTCTAGCTCAGATACAAACACAAACTGTCAGCATGTTAGCATGTGGTCCACTTCCTGTTTGCAACCGGAAGACGACCAACAACGTTAGTCGGTTTAGATAACAGACACTCGACTGTCCTGCTGACGCCACAGACATGTAAACTAATCACAGACACATCCACTTCCAGTGGATGTTTTTGGCAAAATATAATATTTTTTTATTTACCAAAAACAATTGTAAGATAAACGCCGACTCTGGACGATCCACCCCCAGCATTTCATCTGATATCTACTGTACAGTACACATGAATGCAATCATTCCGACATGTCTCTGTCTGTCCCTGTGTCCACCTCTCCCTCATCACACCCACTATATGTTCACGTCTTCCCTTCTGTATGAGCAGCCTGCTGTCCCTCTCAGATGTCCAGTAACTGTGGGGTCTATGCCAAACCTCCTGTGTGTGTAAATGTGTTCTGATAAAAGATATCCTGAATTTAAAGGTTCACCTGTTATCAACTATCTCTATGACGCCAGACCAGATGAGTGGAGTGTGGACAGAAACATGTCTGTGTGACGGGTTGTGACAGTCGAATATTTAGCGTGTGGTTATTTCCAGACTCACCATGTTGATGAACATGTCTGACAGTTCTACAGTTCAATAGAAAAGCACGTCAGTTGATCATTTGAAAGCATTTGTAGTGTTACATTTGACTTTTGCGTGAAAGCAAGAACAAATGCAGATTTTAAGATGTAGTTCTTCATGGAATGTCACGATCGCTGTTTTCTCATGAAGATGCAGCGCTGGTGGCAAAAAGACAAGAAGCCATGGAAGCAGCTCGCATAAAGATGCAAGAGGAGCTTGATGCCAAAGCTGACATCTTCAGAGAGAAACAAAGACAGGTGCAGTAGTGAAATAAACATGGAATGTTTGGAAGAGAGATGCTGTCAGACCAACTGAATGTGGTGTATTCTGTAACAGCAAGAAGAAGAGAAGAGGAGGCAGAAAATAGAGATATGGGACAGTATGCAACAGGGAAGAAGTTACAAAGGAACCGCGAAACCTTCTCAGGTGAGTTTAATCATCGGGAACTTTATTCTTTTACTACACTTCCTTTAATCTTGCTTACTCTTGTGGACACATTTTTAAATGACATCACTTCAAACTGTATTGATTATTATTTGGAGAAAACAAACAACAACTTCAGCTCAGGCTCTTAAGGTGCACCAGCTATTCTCATTTCATTGACAAGCTGCTCCTGAGTTATGGTAAGATCCATTGGGCATCTTCTGGTTCTCTGAGATCACATGTGTGTATTTGTATAATTGATCACACAGCTGTGTCACTGGCATGTGTCTCTGCTTCAGATGACTGAACTGTGATTTGATCAAAGGTTGTAAAGGCTGTTAACCAAGGCTAACCACATTAAACACACGGTCTGAGTCGCTCACTTTAATATCTTATCAATGCCTTTCACTGCAGACCACTGAAGAGGCCAGCTCATCGACAACAGTGTTGAAACCAAAGTCGGACAAGAAGCCACTTCGTACTGCAGGTATGTACTTCACAGGACAGCAGCTGGAGCACAGACGGCACACACTGATAATATCCCCAAATCCCCCAAATCATCTCAACTGTCATGTGAAGCCCTCAAACATTCTAAAGTCATCTATTGTGTTTATTTGCATAACAGCACACACATCAAATGATTAGGAAATCAAAGATTGTGTTTTTATTGATTACAAATCTTGGCATTAGTAAGCAGCTTATAACATGTGTTATAAGCTGCTTAGAGCTGGTGTTAGGAAGATAACCAGGTCATAATTCATCTCTAATATCTATTTTATATTCATGTGAAAACATCTCCTTCAAACTACTGGATTCATTCAAGTTTATCACCAATACCTCATTTTACAAGATTACAATTTGAACACATCATGATTACATCAGAATGTACTTGTAACCAATACTAATCTTTACTGAATACATCATAATGTAACTCAATGCAACCTCCATGAACATCATGTATACATCACATAAATGTTACCATGGAGTGTATTGTAGCAGAGTCACAATTAAAACATATACTCGGTGACAGAACACTAGAGAAACAAGACGAGACCCATGATGCAAAGCACAGTACAGTAGTGCATCACACGCACACACACCAGCAACACGCGTGTAACAAACGCACTGTTCTCCTTCACTAAACTACAGAGCAGTGCTCCTCCTCTGATGACAGCCAGCACCACTGATGGCTTTGCATGTTTATGCCAAATAACTGCTTTCACGTTCTGTTAGAGCCAGTCATCTCCCAAAGCAGCCATCTTTTAGCTTTCCTAATATTTTGACCAAATGTTTTCAAAATGAAATGTTCAGGTGTTACACCCACCTTCAGATTCAGTGCTTTACCCACCAAGACACGTGTCTGCATGCAGAACTCACTTTTATCACTTCACACGTGAAACAATCTTCTATTCCATGGTGGACATATACATTCTGTATGTGTAGTCCTGTGTTGGATTGACAGGACACGAACGGCAGGTTCATCATTTGGTCATAAACAACAGATTCTCTTGCCGCTCCTTAAATTTGTGTAACGTTTTCAGCGTTAACTCACAACAGATTTTTCTTAAAACTTGTTTGTCCAGTGAGACATTCCGTTGGCGTCTTCATGATCTTCTTCAGCCTCAGATATTTGTATGCTTCCCGTTTTGTGCCAGCCACATGGAAATGTCATCACTGCACAATGAGCAGCTCTGTTCATACATCTTGATCTGAATCTTAATTTACTCCTTTCTGTTCTTCTGTGTGTGTTTCAGACTACAACCCCCTGACTGGACAGGGAGGAAGCTCCGTTTCCTGGAGACCTGGCAGGAGAGGGCCGTCATCTGGTGGATGAGGGTAAAGAGGTCAGAGACTTTGGTCTGTGTGACCTCTGACCTCTGGCATCCTGATGTGCACACTGACTGACTGAACCAAGCTGACAATATCACTAACCCTCTTTTAGTTTTCTACCTGCTCCATATTTCCAGTGGGTGTTGATCAGTTAGCATCATTAATTGCATCTATCTTGTTTGACTTGTTATTTACTCTCTGATCCCTCATGAATCATACTGTTGAGGGAGAAATGCATTCTGGGATTGAAGGCTTGTAATGACGCCATTCCTGTAATCGGTATGGAACCAGCAGGTGTGGCTGATGAATTTCACAGTCGGTGTGTTTTTTCTCATATATGTTGAAATGTGTAGCAGCACAGCTGTAGAGTGGATGTTACTACAGACGCTGCTGCTGGACTACCGGTATATTACAAGAAATAGTACATTCTGATGATATAGTTAAGTTGGATCTATCAAAATGTAAGAAGGGTATGTCTATACTGTACATGCACATTTTTGGGCAATAAAGATTTGGTGACTGGGTATTTGTATTTGTTCTGTTGAGAATCCACAAGAACCTGAAGGTGTGAAGCTGCACCACGCAGGCTGTAAGCTTTACTGATGTTAAGATCTGATTCTGACAAATGACATTTTTACAACAAAAGAAGAGTCGGTCACAAACACTCTCAGGCTACATTACTGGGCCCCAGACCCCCGGGGCCTTAAAGGGTAACTTGGGTATTTCTCAACCTGGACCCTATTTTCTTAAGTTTTTGTGTGAAGTGACTAATGAACGCTACAGTCTTATCAGGCTGTAATGTAATCGCTCAGGCCAACTCCTCACCGTTGATGTATGTCGTCTCAAAGGTCTTCATGTGGCCACTGATGGGCTCAGACTGTTGGAAGAGTCTGATAATATTATGGAGAAATATAACCCTCAATATTAGGGAGAAATAACATTTCTATACAATTATTGGAATTGAATGAGTAAAATACCTGGTTTAGATAAGTGAACAACCCCTTAGATTAACCATTATAAACCTGCTCAGGTACGACCAACCACCTTCCAGATCACACACCAGGCAGACTGACCCCCCGTCTGACATCAGTTGTAGTGGTTGTCCCTATTCTTTAGAATCAAAGCTGCTGTTCCTTGAGGATTCAGCTCCTAGTAGTGGATGGGGACTCCGATTGAGATTAGTGGCTCTGTGCATGTGACAACAATCTCACAAAGCTGGCCTGTATGGCAGGGAGGCAAGAACCGATCCTCGTCTGAAGAAGTGCCACACTCTCGTTTGCGCTTTGCAAAGAAACACGTGCCATGTGGCAAAAGCTTCGATGGTGAGATGAGACCAAGACTGAACTTTTTGGACTGAAGTCCAAGTGTCCACACCACCCAAAACACAGCATAGCTACTGTGAAGCATGGTGGTGGTGTCGTGGGGTGTTTCTCTTCTACAGGGACCGGACAATTATGTAGGATTGAAGGGAAAATGGATGCAGCCAGGTCCACCCAAACATTCCTGATGAAAAACTGTACACATATATATATATATATATATATCTAGTAGGGGTGCAACGGATCACAAACCTCACGGTTAGGTTCGGATCACGGTTCTTGAGTCACCGTTCGGATCATTATTCGGATCAGTGAAGAAAAGGGGAGGAGTCAAATATAAAGCAAAGAACTTTGGGCTATAGTCTTACATAAAAACTAAAATATTGAAGATGTCCAATTTGAAACAAAATGAAATAAATAACAAATAAAAATAAAACTTTTTTTAAGAATTTAAGAATATTAATTTCTGTTAAGTTTAAGTGCAACATGAGGTATGTTGATGCCCTCGTCCTTTGATAGAAAGAAACAGCCAGTGAGCTAGCTTCCACTGTTTCAACTGAACTGAACTGCTCGGCAACAACTTGGGTCTATGTTTACTTCCTGTCAGGTTATGTCATTCAAATACACTGAAATAATGTTTACCATTGCTGTGAAATGGTTTACAACTTTACATTTGTTTTCAAAAAGATGAGAATATCTCCATTGTCTGGGGAGAGGGTAGACCTTTCTATGGTGACTGTGATATTACTATTGGGCCTGTCTAGCTTCACTCTGCTGCTTCTGTCAGCACCTGCACCAGGTGTGTCTGTGTGACTCTCCCAGAGGGGGCGTGTCTACAGCACCTGTCTGTGGGTACATCCCAAGTCTCTTAATTGCATCCCCGTTTCCCTCACTTGGGTCCTTTCCTCGCGTCTTAGTCCCTCCCACCAGGGATGCATGGAGGAAACCATGCGAGGAGAGAGGAACGAGGAAATATGTTTTAAGAGACATGAGACGTCCTTTCCTCAGTTGCGTCACGTGAAGCGACGTCTGTTTCTGATGACGGAGGATCAGCTGATCACAGCTGGATCAGCTGTCAGTCGGCTTTAACAGCTGGAGAGACTTTTGA